ACCTGCCAGGTTTGGATTGTTTGTGTTTTACGTCCTATTAACAGCTAAGGTTATTTAAGGACCTGCCAGGTTTTGGTTGTACAGTAGATGAAAGCCGGATTGGAGTACCCAGAAAAAAAATCACCGACCTGCGGCAAGTACAGTGTACTTGGCGACTGCCCCATGTAGCTAGGTCTCAAACCCGCAACCAAGTGGTGGAGGGCTAGTGGTAGCAGAATGCCATACGCCTAAACTACTTGGCCACCGTGGCCAGACACTTGATTGTTTTACATGTACATTATTAATGGTATTAATTCCTTATGATAGCAATAAAGCAATTTTACCCTTGTCCTGAGAATGTAATTTCACAAAATATCAACATGTATTGTATTCGTCTTCAGCTGGATTACAACATAATATCAGTTTTGATGTCATTCAACTTTTCCCCTCAAATTGAGTTGATATCATCAAAGAAAAAAATTATGGAATGTGCTTCAAACTTACTTTTTAAAATAAAATTCATTCATCACACCATGTGTATTATATATATATATTGTACATAATATATCACATATCAACTAAAACAAAATACCCATGACAATTAATAAAGATTTAAATTACAAATTGACAAAGGGTGGACGGACAATGTAAATACAGTATATATAAAGTAAATTATATACCAGGTATATTAATTGTCAAATACCAAAAAGGCATTAATATTTGATGAAAACTGTTAAGAGATAAGAAAATACATGTGATATCAAATTAACAATGTTATATTTACATTCAAACACTTCAATTATGAGATTTTTGTTATGTATGACAACCCTTTGAAATGGTATTACTTATCTAAGCACGTTGACCATCAGAAATGTATGCGTCCATTTGCTGGTATATTGTATATTTTGTGAAGAACTGGACTTTTTCTGTTAAAATAAAAAAAAAAAAAAAAAGTTTCTTGTAAATAAAATACTTGTTGGCTAATCTATATCTTTCAGGGACAAAATTCATTCATCACACCATGTGTATTATATATATATATTGTACATAATATATCACATATCAACATATCTATTCACCTAATATAACAATTTTCTATTGTGGCTACTTTTTGTTTGTTTTTTGTTTTAATTTTTGAAGGGTTTTGCACATATTGTTAAACTTTGCAAATTGCTGAGTTCACTTTTTTTAAAATAGGTAAAAAACGGTACATATTTATATTGTTAAGGTCTAATGAGTTCTGACAACAGTATGAGCAAATGAAGACACTAAATTTGGACAATAAAATATTTATTGCACGAGTAGGCTAATACTTACATTGACATAAAAACCAAGAAGGAATCAATAGTGATAGTACAGAAAATATCATTTGCCAAGTTTTCAAGGCAAACTGCCCCATTGGTTACCCTTTGCCCACCTGCTTACATAAAAACATAATATGCCCTGTCTTTTGAAGAGTAGACATGTATACAAATAACATTTCACACAAAATACAAGACAAATAACTATAATTCTATTATAAATGTGCTTGAAGCTAGACACTCATTATTTACAACACGAGGGAAACACTAACGGTGTGGTAGGAGAAAATTGAACAAACAGCCGCTCAAAACAACTGTAGTTGACTACTCAATACCGTTGGTAATCAAAATCTGAATTTACTCTTTGATATTTGATTGTTTGTTTGTTTGTGTTTTACGTCCTATTAACAGCTATGGTCATTTAAGGACCTGCCAGGTTTGGATTGTTTGTGTTTTACGTCCTATTAACAGCTAAGGTCATTTAAGGACCTGCCAGGTTTGGATTGTTTGTGTTTTACGTCCTATTAACAGCTAAGGTCATTTAAGGACCTGCCAGGTTTGGATTGTTTGTGTTTTACGTCCTATTAACAGCTAAGGTCATTTAAGGACCTGCCAGGTTTGGATTGTTTGTGTTTTACGTCCTATTAACAGCTAAGGTCATTTAAGGACCTGCCAGGTTTGGATTGTTTGTGTTTTACGTCCTATTAACAGCTAAGGTCATTTAAGGACCTGCCAGGTTTGGATTGTTTGTGTTTTACGTCCTATTAACAGCTAAGGTCATTTAAGGACCTGCCAGGTTTGGATTGTTTGTGTTTTACGTCCTATTAACAGCTAAGGTCATTTAAGGACCTGCCAGGTTTGGATTGTTTGTGTTTTACGTCCTATTAACAGCTAAGGTTATTTAAGGACCTGCCAGGTTTTGGTTGTACAGTAGATGAAAGCCGGATTGGAGTACCCAGAAAAAAAATCACCGACCTGCGGCAAGTACAGTGTACTTGGCGACTGCCCCATGTAGCTAGGTCTCAAACCCGCAACCAAGTGGTGGAGGGCTAGTGGTAGCAGAATGCCATACGCCTAAACTACTTGGCCACCGTGGCCAGACACTTGATTGTTTTACATGTACATTATTAATGGTATTAATTCCTTATGATAGCAATAAAGCAATTTTACCCTTGTCCTGAGAATGTAATTTCACAAAATATCAACATGTATTGTATTCGTCTTCAGCTGGATTACAACATAATATCAGTTTTGATGTCATTCAACTTTTCCCCTCAAATTGAGTTGATATCATCAAAGAAAAAAATTATGGAATGTGCTTCAAACTTACTTTTTAAAATAAAATTCATTCATCACACCATGTGTATTATATATATATATTGTACATAATATATCACATATCAACTAAAACAAAATACCCATGACAATTAATAAAGATTTAAATTACAAATTGACAAAGGGTGGACGGACAATGTAAATACAGTATATATAAAGTAAATTATATACCAGGTATATTAATTGTCAAATACCAAAAAGGCATTAATATTTGATGAAAACTGTTAAGAGATAAGAAAATACATGTGATATCAAATTAACAATGTTATATTTACATTCAAACACTTCAATTATGAGATTTTTGTTATGTATGACAACCCTTTGAAATGGTATTACTTATCTAAGCACGTTGACCATCAGAAATGTATGCGTCCATTTGCTGGTATATTGTATATTTTGTGAAGAACTGGACTTTTTCTGTTAAAATAAAAAAAAAAAAAAAAAGTTTCTTGTAAATAAAATACTTGTTGGCTAATCTATATCTTTCAGGGACAAAATTCATTCATCACACCATGTGTATTATATATATATATTGTACATAATATATCACATATCAACATATCTATTCACCTAATATAACAATTTTCTATTGTGGCTACTTTTTGTTTGTTTTTTGTTTTAATTTTTGAAGGGTTTTGCACATATTGTTAAACTTTGCAAATTGCTGAGTTCACTTTTTTTAAAATAGGTAAAAAACGGTACATATTTATATTGTTAAGGTCTAATGAGTTCTGACAACAGTATGAGCAAATGAAGACACTAAATTTGGACAATAAAATATTTATTGCACGAGTAGGCTAATACTTACATTGACATAAAAACCAAGAAGGAATCAATAGTGATAGTACAGAAAATATCATTTGCCAAGTTTTCAAGGCAAACTGCCCCATTGGTTACCCTTTGCCCACCTGCTTACATAAAAACATAATATGCCCTGTCTTTTGAAGAGTAGACATGTATACAAATAACATTTCACACAAAATACAAGACAAATAACTATAATTCTATTATAAATGTGCTTGAAGCTAGACACTCATTATTTACAACACGAGGGAAACACTAACGGTGTGGTAGGAGAAAATTGAACAAACAGCCGCTCAAAACAACTGTAGTTGACTACTCAATACCGTTGGTAATCAAAATCTGAATTTACTCTTTGATATTTGATTGTTTGTTTGTTTGTGTTTTACGTCCTATTAACAGCTATGGTCATTTAAGGACCTGCCAGGTTTGGATTGTTTGTGTTTTACGTCCTATTAACAGCTAAGGTCATTTAAGGACCTGCCAGGTTTGGATTGTTTGTGTTTTACGTCCTATTAACAGCTAAGGTCATTTAAGGACCTGCCAGGTTTGGATTGTTTGTGTTTTACGTCCTATTAACAGCTAAGGTCATTTAAGGACCTGCCAGGTTTGGATTGTTTGTGTTTTACGTCCTATTAACAGCTAAGGTCATTTAAGGACCTGCCAGGTTTGGATTGTTTGTGTTTTACGTCCTATTAACAGCTAAGGTCATTTAAGGACCTGCCAGGTTTGGATTGTTTGTGTTTTACGTCCTATTAACAGCTAAGGTCATTTAAGGACCTGCCAGGTTTGGATTGTTTGTGTTTTACGTCCTATTAACAGCTAAGGTCATTTAAGGACCTGCCAGGTTTGGATTGTTTGTGTTTTACGTCCTATTAACAGCTAAGGTTATTTAAGGACCTGCCAGGTTTTGGTTGTACAGTAGATGAAAGCCGGATTGGAGTACCCAGAAAAAAAATCACCGACCTGCGGCAAGTACAGTGTACTTGGCGACTGCCCCATGTAGCTAGGTCTCAAACCCGCAACCAAGTGGTGGAGGGCTAGTGGTAGCAGAATGCCATACGCCTAAACTACTTGGCCACCGTGGCCAGACACTTGATTGTTTTACATGTACATTATTAATGGTATTAATTCCTTATGATAGCAATAAAGCAATTTTACCCTTGTCCTGAGAATGTAATTTCACAAAATATCAACATGTATTGTATTCGTCTTCAGCTGGATTACAACATAATATCAGTTTTGATGTCATTCAACTTTTCCCCTCAAATTGAGTTGATATCATCAAAGAAAAAAATTATGGAATGTGCTTCAAACTTACTTTTTAAAATAAAATTCATTCATCACACCATGTGTATTATATATATATATTGTACATAATATATCACATATCAACTAAAACAAAATACCCATGACAATTAATAAAGATTTAAATTACAAATTGACAAAGGGTGGACGGACAATGTAAATACAGTATATATAAAGTAAATTATATACCAGGTATATTAATTGTCAAATACCAAAAAGGCATTAATATTTGATGAAAACTGTTAAGAGATAAGAAAATACATGTGATATCAAATTAACAATGTTATATTTACATTCAAACACTTCAATTATGAGATTTTTGTTATGTATGACAACCCTTTGAAATGGTATTACTTATCTAAGCACGTTGACCATCAGAAATGTATGCGTCCATTTGCTGGTATATTGTATATTTTGTGAAGAACTGGACTTTTTCTGTTAAAATAAAAAAAAAAAAAAAAAGTTTCTTGTAAATAAAATACTTGTTGGCTAATCTATATCTTTCAGGGACAAAATTCATTCTATCACAGATCATCACCAGGATTTCTTGTTTCAGATCTTCTATAGCAATGCCAAATATCTTCCTTCTTTGAGCTTCCTCCTATAGGAAATATTTGGTTGCTGCAGAAGAACACTGTTGTGTTCAGTAGAAAACATGTTGTTCTACACATGTTGTTCTATAGAGCTGTCAGGTGTTAGAGTAATACACATGCTGACGATTTTTTATCTGCTGGTTTGGACTCTTCTTTAGGTGCTGGCTGCGTCTTTGGCTTTTCAGCAGGTTTTGGTTCTTCTTTAGCTTCTGCCGGTTTCTCTGCTTTATCGGCAGGCTTCGTTTCCTTTTGAGGTGATGCTGGTTTCTTTGCCTGATTCGCAGGTTTCTCTTCTTCTTTAGGTGTTTTCTGTCCAACATTGCTTGATTTTGTTGGCGACTTTTCTGGACCTGTGACTGCTGTTGGATGATCATCACTTGATAAAGCTGGGATATATTCCCGTATCTTACCACGGAGTTCATCAAACTTATCTCCGTTCCAGGACATTTGGAGGGCCTCGTCACGGTAGAAATTGATAAAGAGAAGCTGTGTGAAGACCATACTCATAGGTCCAGTGGGGGGCCAGTCTATCTTCTCCAGGAGGAGAGGAACCATTGGCTTCTTGAGAGAATCAGCCAGACTCACCTCCCTACGACAGTTGGCCGACAGTGCGTACTTGGAGGTCACACAGCTCAGGACGACCTTACAGCCACGGACTCCCCGGTCAATTTTGTCATACAGCGAGTCCCCACCTCCCATCTGGTAGATATCCATCCAGCAGCTGTATCCAAGCTCATTCAGCCTCCTGTACAGCTGTTTGATCTGTTTCTGTTTACCCCACTGGTACGACAGGAACACATCAGGGGACAGCTCTTCTTCCCCCTACAATATAACAACAGTTGATATTTATTCTATTTATAACCTAGTCTAGAACAAACAACTGGGACAAAAATCACCAAATAAGATATAAATGCAGATAGACTTCTAATGCATATACTGTTTAATCCATTTTACCAAATAAAAGTGCTGAACATAAATAAAGCCTGGCAATTGCAGTTTTGATTTATCAAGATGAATTTATTCAACAATTTACCTGTTTTGATTCTGTTTTTCCTGATGAACTTTGACCTCCATCTTCTTTCTTTTTGGTTATGACGATTTCCTCTGCCACAGGCATCCACCAGTCCTTATACTCTGTATAACATGAAACATATGGTTAATTTCTTATCAGACCATTACAAAAATACTAAAAGTTGGAAATAGATTTCCAAATGGCTGCCATGTTGGTCATATTCGATTTCAAATTGGCTCAAGAATAACAACAATTGGTTAGCACCATGTGCTGATTATTTGTACTAATTTTCTGTGAAATTTCTTCGTTAGAATTGGAGTTTTAATTGCAAATACATTTTCAAAATGGCTGTCTTAGTGGCCATATTGCTATAAAATCATTACCAATAAGTTTCAGACAAACTCATTCAGTAGAATTTCAGTTTAAATTCCAAACACATTTTCAAAATGGCTGCCATAGTTGCCATGTTGGATTTCAAACTGGCTCCATGCACTTATCAATTTTGGCTAAATTTTGGTGAAATTGGTTCAAGAAAATATGATTTTAAGTTTGAAATATAAAACGGTTCATGGACCCCATAGGATGACAGAAGTTGATAAAAAAACATTGGCTAAAAATGTAAGTAATACTTTGAAAAGAAGAAAAAAATAATTTCTAAGAATATGTAAGTCATCTGTCAAGAATATCTATGTTTTACAGTAAAATGACATGTACCTTTTGTTATAAGAGATTCGTCAGGCATGGCTTTATACATGTTTAGCTGCATCAACAGTTCCTGGAACTTGGGGGCTGGCCAAAAACGTTGGTCTTTAGTCTCCTCTCCTCCTCGCTGGAAAAATCTCACAAACAGATACTCACTGAAGATTGGTCCCATAGAGCCCTTAGGAGGCCAGGCCATCTTCTCCATCAGAAGGGGAATCATGGGCTTACCCAAGCTTACAGACAGGTTCACCTGCAAAATTAAATAAGGTACAAATGTGAACAAGCATTTTCTAGTAATGACACATGTCCTTTTCAATGGTATATTGTCGAATTATTATACAAAGATGTACCCTACCACCACACATTGTCTTCTGTTCAAAATTATAACACAGATAATCGTTGCTAAAATTTGACCTTTGACCCCTAGTCGTGGGTTTGAACTTTGACCCTTTGCACCATACTTGACCTTTGTCCTCTTGGAAAGTGACACTAATACCACTGTTACTCACCTCTCTGTTACAGTTGGGAGATTTGGAATACTTTTCAGACACACAACATATAATGATCTTTGCGCCACGGATTCCGTTGTCAATCTTCTCAAAGAGTTTGTCCCCGCCTCCCATTTGTCCGATGTCCATCCAGCACTCGTACCCGGCCATTTGTAGGTGATTGCGCAGTAACTTGACCTCGTTCTGATGACCCCACTGGTAACTAAGGAAGATAGGTGGAGGTGTGGTGTAGTCTACCTCTTCTTCCACAACTCCCTCTGAGAACAGAAATAGAATATATATGACAATGAGCTCTCTTTAAAGTAACAAATAAATAAAAACAGCAACTCCTGAAGCTGGTTTCAGACTTTCTATAAAGCATGTTCTTTTTTGACTAGTTGCCAACATGTTTCTGCCTGCTAAGGCAAAAATAATATAAAAATGGTGAAAGGCTTCATTTCACCTCAGCCTAGGTTATTGGGAACCCTGTCTACCCTAGGTTATTGGGAACCCTGTCTACCCTAGATTATTGGGAACCCTGTCTACCCTAGGTTATTGGGAACTCTAGATCTGTCTACCCTAGGTTATAGGGAACCCTGTCTACCCTAGATTATTGGAAACCCTGTCTACCCTAAATTATTCAACCTTAGAACCAATTTTTTTTCTTCTCCATTACGACATTGCATTAAACAATGAAATGAGTTTTTGTTTTCAAATGGCTTCATTTTACCATTTGGGGTGGGTTATTCTCTGCTCCTAAAAGTTCTACAACTCTTTCACATACTGTATACTAGGCAAGTGGATTTTTTTGTGGGTGTATGTGTGAGGAATAGTTCGCTTTGTGACTCCTTAAACTGATCGTTTTGTGTGTAAATTTTGCATTGACAATGGTTCCTGAAATCTATAAACCTATCGTGTATCAATTATTCACATTAGGGTATTTTCATTCTGCATAAATTTCCAATTTTACAGTAATATATGTTTACTGACCTACAGCCTTCATGGCATTCTCGACAATGGCGGCACCATCCATCCTGTCTATCTCCTGTAGAGCAACTAGTACAGCGTGGGTGGCCTCGATCGTCTTGTGGGTGGCGTACCACTCACTGAGGAGGCCCATACAGGGGTCGTGCTGGGTCGCCCAGCCCTTGATGTCATCAGGTGTGTATGCCAATCTCTTCGCCAGAAGTCTCCAGTCATGATCTGACTGTGGATTCATCAGCTTGGTCAGATCTCTTGACCATTTAGGGGCGTTGGTCATTGTCTGTAAATATCAATGTAAATATAATAAAAATGATTTCTTGTAATACTTTAAGTTATCACAATGAAGATTTAATTAACACTTGTGTTTATGATAAATTACATGATGCTTGAGTTTATAAGTGTGCAGATAGTTAGCATTTGAGTTATTTCCCTTAGTCTGGTAGAATTTCGTCTATAGAGTTATCCCCCCTGATTGGTGCCATCTTACAACCTTTGTAAATCACTGAGGCGAAAATTAGCAGGAATTGTCAAGGAAATTTGGCATTGTATCAACTAATTGGTCTGTTGTAAAGATGTTTAGGTCATATTTGGCTGTTTTCAGTTGGCGTGCATGTCAGTGATATGAAAATGGTCTAGATCTGATTTCAATATCATGGGAAATGATTAAAGTATTGAATTTGACTTTAAAGCTTAGAAGATCAGCATTTTTTCTACTGTGAACACTAAAACATCACACAAAACATTATTATGATTCCCTCACAATTTACTGACGAGGACAATAGAACCTCTTGTCACTTTAATTGTTTTTTGATTTTTTGTTTGTTTTTCAATTATTCCAAGGTATGACCACAAACATTCAATAACAAACTATATCTCAATTTTAAACATAGATTTGTACAAGCTCCAGTCCATCTGGTGCTTAATGATAGACTTACACAAGTTCCTGGTTTTAACAACGAATCGGGTTCAATTGAAATATATTGAATATTTTTTTGTTGATGAATTGAGTTGGTCCTAAGACAAAGTCAACATAAACAGCTTCGCAGTTCATCGACTTTTCTCAAGACGAACTAAATTCATCACCCCATAAAATCTACAAAAGCAGGATTCAATCTTTAAATGAAACTTCAATGAATTCAATCATTTATCTTTATATCATTCTAACCATAGCAATGTAATCCGGGACAACAATGTTCACTTGGTATTAAAATTTGTGTTAAAATATTTACTGCAAACAAAGCATATACAGATGCCATGTTAATAGTGGCAACTCCAGTTAAATAAAACAGACCTTGTTGTCAACCTTCTCAACCTTGATTTTTGTTTCATCCAGATCTTTTTCTACAGTATCCACACGTTTATTGGTAGCTTTAAGTCCAGTTTTGACCGTAACAATTTCCTTTTCCTGCTTGTCAACTTTCTTATCAACCACATCAACTTTAGCCGTTGTTTCAGTAACCTTGGTGTTGAGGACATTTATATCTCCCTTCTGGTGTTCAACATCCTTCACTATGCCTTCCACACTGGCAACAAATCAAGTTATGTCTGATCAAAACTTGAAATAAATGGAAGAATTTGTTATTATTCAGCTACAAAAGTATAATGTGTATACATGTATTTGGTTTGGTTTGTTTGTGTTTTACGTCCTATTAACAGCTATGGTCATTTAAGGACGTGCCAGGTTTTGTTGGTGGAGGAAAGCCGGAGTTCCTGGAGAAAAACTCCACCGACCTACAGCCAGTATCTGGTGGATGCCCCACGTAGGCCTCGAACCCGTGACCCAGTGGTGGAGGGCTAGTGGTAGCAGAATGTCAGACGCCTTAACCACTTGGCCACCGCGCGGCCCCCTGTGTATACATGTAGTCTTCAATATTATTTCATAGATCATAACAAAAATACTGTGTCAACAAATACAAGATAGAATGGTCATCTAAGTTATAATTTCCTTATACACAAGCAAAGACTTGATCTTTGACAAGAAATTATATCTAGGGCAAAACTTAGTTGTTAACCCTTTCACCACTGTAAACCAAAATGGACTTAGCAATATCAATGTATGGTAGAGTCTATTAAAGTTACGTAGCGGTGAAAGGGTTAAAACCCTGATAATTTTTCTTGTTTATACAGTATCATTATCAAATACCATAAACATGCACCCCTTAACGGTATTCCGATTTTACTGCTTTTTACACTTTAAATATTTCACTAAATCATGAATGATGATTGCACTAATTTAAGTTTCTGTATCTAACCCTTTTCCTATAGCATATATTGTGAGAGCACGGTAAAAATCATCAAAATGCTAATCTGTTACACTTGGATAATGCACTTAAGCTTCAGTCTGTTAAAACATTAATTAGACAATATATTAAAATTAACAAATTTAAACTTCATTCATAGGAATTTAAAATTATGGTCTGGAATTTAAAAAAAAACAAAATGTAAATTTTCAGAAATTAGAAGAAGAAATATTTTGAAAAATTGCATGAATCAGGCTTTGAACAAGCATGCCCAGGTCTCTATGTTGTAATGAGTTAGAATATAAGACTCTTTCATGCCCAGGGCTTTGCAGAGCGTTTCGCCAAATTTGAAAATCTGAGGGTGGAATTTCCCTTTCCTACACCCCTGGACATGAAAGAGTATTTTACTTTCATTCCTACATACAGAATAAGCTTAGAAACCATAAAAATACATTGGGACTGGCCACCATTTTGAAAATATCAACTTTTCCCTCAGTTTTTTTGATGAAAGCGAATCTGTCAGCGAGATTTAGAATACCCCATATTTAATAATCTCATCATTCTAACTTGTATGGTCAATAATTGTAAAAGGTTTTATTTTCATCACGTTGCCTTTTCCGCATTGCGGCATCGGGACTTTTCAAATTCATGACACCACAAATTTGTGCAGTTGTTACGTCACGTCACGTGAAACGGAGTGTAAGATAAAAAATTCTTACATCCATTTCTTACACTGCACAGCTCTATCTTACACACACGGAAATGAGAGAATATGTTATTACCTGATACCATCCATTTCATTAAGAATAGAAGTGGCCTTGTCTTTGACTGTAGCAGTAGTGGCTTTACTCTGTAATTCTTCGATGTACGGGCGATGTGGTTTGAGTCGTTCGATCCCGTGCTGTGTTCCAATTGTATGAATACTGTCAACCAGGGGGAATTGGTAAAGGGGATTGTCACACTTTTTCGAGAGGTTCACGAACTCTGTCAGAACATCCTCCACAAGTTCCTGGCAAGTCAGTGGGAAATGTTTTTATAAAGCATTAATACTAGTAATATTATATAAATTATCATTTATTATGCTCATGACAATTTCCTTTTTGTGTAATGTCCATTAAAGATAAAAATATTTGTACAAACATCATGCAGATAAACCTGATAACAGCGAAAACCATAACATATAATGATTTATCACATAATGTACTGTGTTATCCAGTGAACATACCCATGTCATATTTTTTTGCGTATTAACCCATGTAATATGACCTATCAGCCCTGTGATTTCAAAGTATGATAGATTTCCAAATGGTTTCTGATTGACGTTCACTGCGTGATGGAGCTGGTGACTATAGAATGGGGGACCACACCCGTGTTTGATTCTTTTTCTCCCATACTCAAAATAAACATGTTAGTGTAAATACTCTACATGTATTCATATGCTTGTAGTCCATGAGAGACGTGCCTAAATATAGAGGGGCCACGGTGGCCAAGTGGTTAAGGCATTTGACATCCTGCTACCACTAGTCCTTTACCACTGGGCATGGGTTCGAGGCCTACGTGGGGCAGTTAAATTGCCAGGTACTGGCCGCAGGTTGGTGGGTTTTCTCTGGGAACTCCGGTTTTTTCTCCACAACCAAAACCTGGCACGTCCTTAAATGACCATAGCTGTTAATATGATAACACAAACAAACCAAACCTAAATACAGTATGTTATTTTCATAGTGGTAACAAACAATGGCGGGACAGATATCAAAGTGTACTGAGAATGCCATCAAATGTCAGAGGTCAAGTATGCAAAAGTGCATCATGGCGTCATACTGCAAGTGCAGGCTGTCTGTCCGGAAGAGAAGACAGGTTTTTATCATTACATGGGTGAAATCGTGTCTTTCGCAGGCAAGTATAGGAGAAAGCAAGATCTTGTTCCAACAAATATCCTTTTTACTAGCTCCGCTTGTTGTTGCCAGTGCAACTCAATTTGCAACGGTATACAATCACAATATACCGCTGCAACTTTCAAAATACGGTAGGGTTATCCTCTAGATACATAATATAAATAAATGATTGAGATGTTTTTATTAAGACGTACCGGGTGATGATGGGCAAGGCTGACCCCGATAGGCTGGATAGCCGTGATAAAGGTTACATTCAACTTTGGATTCCTCAGGACATGGTCGAGGGCATTTTTTCCGAAAAATTGTGGCTGTTTCTGAATGGCTCCACCCAAAGCTAGCAATATTCTGTACTGGTTGTCGTTATTATCCACGAATCTCTCAGTGAGCATCATGTCAACATGCTCTTGTGTAAATTGCTGAAAATCCAAATAATGAAAGCAATATTTTATACAGTTGGACTGTGAGTCAAAAAATATCAAAATCTTCAGGTATATTAGTCTCTATCAATATTATTTAACAAGCATATATACATTTATATTTAACTGGACCAAATAAAGCTACAGGCTAAATATTATCACTTATCAATAAGACTCCTGGTCATTTAAAAGAACTTATTAAAAGATTTTAGCGAATTGTTCCTTGTGACTTTGAAAGTCTAACAGAGATCTATCAGAAGACCAAACTTAACATACTTTCATCCCAAAGCATGCAACTGGCAAAATATCAAGGTTGGTCAAGGTCATTCATTTGAACACACTTTGTAGCCCTCTACCCCAGCATGCTACCTGAGCTAAATATTTTTACCTTTGGCCTAGCTTTTGAAAATTGAGAAGTTCATTTGAACCAATTAACTTTGTACATGAAGTCCTTCATCTAAGCGTGCTATTGGCCAAATATCATCACTCTAGGCCTCTTATTTAATAACAATAAGTTGTTCAAAGATGTTCAACAGATTTGAACAATGTGAGCTTGATTATGGATGAATATCATTCATTTGAACAAAAATGGTAGCTTTTCATTCAAGTATACTACGCACAGGCTTAATATCACCAATCTGGGACTTTTGGTTATTAAGAAGAAATTGTCATAAATATTTTTTTTAACATTTGCCCCCTCACCCCAGCATACAACAGGCTAAATGTCATCTCTTTAGGTCTTTTGGGTATTGAAAAGAGGTTGTTTAAATATTTTTTTAAAGCATTTGACCCCTGTGACCTTGAAAATGGATCAAGGTCATTCATTTAAACAAACTAAGTAGCATTTTTAGTGCTTCATCCCAGCATGCTATAATATGATTACCCTGGGCCTATAAATAGGTTATTGAAAAGAAGTTGTTTGAAGATTTTAACACATTTGACTCCTGTGAACTTGAAATTGGGGTAAGGTCACTCATCTGAACAAATATAGTACCCTTTCATCCGTGCATATGTCTGGCTATATATCATTACCCTAGACCTATTGCGTATTGAGAAAAATTGTTTAAGTAGTTTTCAACATTTGACCCCTGTGACCTTGAAAGTGGGTCAAGGACATCATTTGAACAAAGTTTTTAGCCTCTCATCAAACATGCTATTGGCCAAATATCATGAGTTATCTCTTATCTTCACAGTACTACAAGTAGACCTCCATTAAAATCACTATTTGACATTTTCTGAGATGAGAAATAAGTAATTCTAAGTCACCTCTGGTTGTTTTTCACCCATCTCCATTAACATGACAGATTGCATGGCTCCGTGGTCTGTATCTCTGTCTCCATTCATAGCTTTTATCAAATCGTCAAAATCTTCTTTAGAGATCCCATCACCTTTTTTATATGGTTGCCAAATCGCAGCTGTAAAACAATAATATTTATTTATTCTTAATTATCAAATATATTCTAATTAGTAATAAGTTGTTAATTAAGAAACAGCACCAACTTTCCTTATATATCTCTCTCTCTGCTATTCATTTTTATTAATTTACACACAGTAAACATATGATTTTTTTTTATCCATAAATAGCAATTGTGACCTTGACCTTAGCACTTCGTAACACAAACTTGTTTGAGGTACTTTCTTTCTTCATTATTTTACGAAACTTGATCAAATTCTGTTTACAAATGGTCACTGGAGCGATAACACACACTTTTGCCATTGACCTTGGCACTCCAAAAGGCAAACTTATTGGAGTTATCAAAGTTTTACTGTCAACACAATCAATTGCCTCATACTTGACCAATGTTTGAAGTTCGAAAACTTAAATTAGGAAATGTGAATTTGCTAAAATGATGACACATGTATACACCCATGAGGCACACTCACAAACACATACAGAAGTTTAAATTAGGTTTTTTTGAAGTAAACAGAAGTGTTATTTATCAGTAGATATTACTGTTTTCAAGTAACAACACCATATATTTATATATACAAGAGGCCTAGAGGGCCTGTACTACTCATCTGGATATAATATATATTTAAGCAATTATGGCAAAATATTCTCGTTAAAAGTAGCATTGCAAATATGATCCGAGGTTTAAGGCCAGTCTCCCCGGTAGTTCAGAAGAATAAATTGTAGATGGACAATCTCGTCTTGGTCTGTCAGACCAGTATCAATATTTACTATAAATATTGCTCAAAGAAGCAAATACTCAGCAACAAGGGTATTTGTATACACATAAATATGTCTCTATTCAATCAGTAACCTTGATTTAGAGATTATTTATACAATACTAAATCAAAATCACTTCAACCATCCTTACCCATAGTCACTAATGGGCCTAACACCCCTTTGCTCCAAGGATAACCAAACTCTGTTATACAATGTTACGTCTCCTTGGCCAGCTAAGACTACATTTGGTTAAAATACCTTTACCACTACTGAAGGAGTAGGATTTTTTAAAACTGACATATATTTTCCCTATAGAACCCCACAACTAGATGGTCCACATCCTCGGCCTGTACAATTCTGGGCTCCCTTGGTCCAAGGATATTCCAGACCAATTTTGACTTAAATCTCTTTCCTTGCATAAAAGGAGAAGAATTTTAATGATTCCCTTTCTTTCCAATTGAGCTGTACCCCTCTAACCCTAGACAAGCCACACCCCTCTGTTTATACCTTAGGAGTCATATTGGCAAAAGGATGCTTCAGACAAAATAAGGTTAAAATCTCTAAACCCATACTGTTAGAGCAAAATTTTCAAAATTTGGGTTTATTTTCCAACTTCTACTCCTTGAGATAAGCTGACAGAAAAAATGACGACCTGCCATAATGTGAATTTGCTTTACCATTCAGACAGGTTAGCTGAAAACATGGATTCCTACAGTTTTTTTCATACTCTATAATATTATTACGAGCTTAAACACTTACACAAAGCATCAACAGCACTAGTTGTCTTATACCACTGAATGAGGGCCTCGATATGAGGGAGGATCGCAGTAGGTGCTTGCGAGCTCATCAGGGACATTATACTGCGAGCTGCATTCCGTAGATCCTCTTCTTCATGGCTTAACTGTTTTACGATGGCTGGCATCATTGGCCCCAAAACTCTTTCGGGACTGTCACTGCCCATATGCTGAAGTAGGAGGAAAGCAAAACATTGACACAATAAGTCCATTTTTTTTTTTTTTTAAATATACCATAAAAAAATACGAGGCACATTGGGTTGGTATCTTTTACCTGATATCCATTTCGCAAACACACCTCATATCTGTAATCTCAAAGTGGGTCAAGGTCAATTTAGATGAACTTGATAGCAAATGTGCTAACAATAGTCTAAATATCATTACTCTACACCTTAATGATCTTTGCTTGAAGGTTTTAACTCTTTTGCCCAGGGGACTTTCAAAGTTGGTCAAGGTAATGTTTTTAACAATCCTGACAACGTTTTACCCTAGCAAGCAACTAAATTACTATCTAGGCAGCATTAAGAACCTTTGACCCCCACTTTTGACCCCCTTGTGAACTTGAAAATAGATTGATGTTCTTCAACTTAAAAGTCATAGCGTCAAGTGTAGAGGATAAACGGCAGGTATATGCTCATATGCTCGTAGAATATACAGTGTATATAGCAGTATCATAAGAAATCTGGATATCATTTTAGTCATAAGAGTGAATAAGTCAGTGCTGAATTTATTTAGGGAAAGATCATAAGGAATATTTACTTTATTATAACTGTACCCTGAATACCTTCACTTACTTTGTTTAAAAAAGTTATCAGACTAGATGTTGCAGTACAGCCATAAATTGTGATTGTACCGTGGACAACATCTGTATAATCCAGATCTTCAGTTTCCATGGTGTAAAGCATCATCTGGACCAGTGTGTCCACCACATCATCCGGCATGTCCTTCCCTGATCTACAAGTTAGAACATAGCATGAAATACATGTATTATTGATAACAAAGTTTTACCCAATACTCAAACAATGTAGGTATTGAACGGGTCGCAACATTTCAAGACCGACCGGTCCCTTGTCAAGCTATCATATGATAGCTTGACAAATGGACCAGTCGGTCTTGAAACATTGCGACACATTTAATACCCACATTGTTTGTGTAGACAGTAAAAACTTTAATATTACATATTTCCAAACCGCTGAATCTTATTGAAGACCTATATTATTACTTAATATTGAAAAAAAATGTCTTTCCCCTAGCTTTAAAGTTGTGTTCGTGCTGCCAGCCATATTTCACTTTATTACATACCCATGTCATATTTCGTTTTTTTTGTATATGCGATACGACACAATTGCTCTTACCCATATCAGCCCTCGCCGTATCACACCCAAAAAGCCGTATCAGCCCCCGCCGTATCACACCCCAAAACCTGTATCAGCCCGCAAAACCTGTATCAGCCCGCAACACCCGTATCACACCCCTTTTGGATTTTTTTTCGTTTTTCAATATTTCAAAAGAAAAAAAATTATAGTAAGATAGTAGCTTTTATTAGTAAGTATGTAATAAACAGAATAAATCATGACTTTTTCCACACCCCTTTTTGAATTTTTTTCGTTTTTCAATATTTCAAAAGAAAAATTCATCATAAGATAGTAGCTTTTATTAGTAAGTATGTAATAAACAGAATAAAACATCACTTTTTCCATATCACACCCAATATCAACCCTCAACTAATATCAGCCCTCGGGCTGATATTGCAGTCTCGGGTTGATACTGGGTGTGATATGGAAAAAGGCATGTATTATTCTCTATGTAATGTAAAATTGTGTAACGGGAGAAAGAGAAGTGCAACAGCCAGACTGGGATTCGAACCCTTTGAACTCTAGACGGACGCTCTAGGTATTGACCTAGCTGGTCCCTGACGATTGATTGAACCAGTCAAGTTCCACTACATTCGTCCCTCCCATGTTTTTCTAAGTATTCACCCGAGAAAACACTATTTACAGCCGAAGTTCGAGTATCCCCTTGCCAAGCTTTCACCCAGTGCTTGAAACAAGGATTGGCAAGCTTTCCCATTTGTAACAGAAGAAAGAGAAATGTGACGGCCAGGCCGGGGCTCAAACCCAGGACCCTTTGAACTCTAGACTGATGTACCTGGTTGCCGATGATCGACCCGGATCAGTTCCGTTATAATTGGAAAGTTTCATGGTGTGAAATGCTTCCATTTTTTGCAATGAGTAAATTAGCACAAAAAATATCCACACATGCATATTGATTTATGAATTATATAGATTATACATGTAGTTATACAGAATATGTAAATTTCAGAATTAATGCCAACATAAAAATGTCCACACAGCAATCAGTTTTAAGAATGTGAACATTTCTACACTTTCAGGGTTTGGAGGAAAGGAGGAATGGGTAGGACCTCACCCTATCCCTGGATAAGAAATGTCCAGCCAAACCCAGGGGCTGCTCTATCCCAGACATTTGGGGGTGTGGGGTGGGGTGGGGAGGAAAGGTAGGTAGGACCTCACCCTATCCCTGGATAAGAAATGTCCAGCCAAACCCAGGGGCTGCTCTATCCCAGGACATACTTGTAGGCATTGATGACACTATCGATAATTGTCTGACCACATCTTTGTGTATCCCTGTCGTCCCATGGGTAGTCTGCATCCATATAAATTGTGGAAAATTTCTTGATCACCTCAGGGATTACTTCATGATTGCTCTGAAAATAAAAAAGAATTTTGAATGAAAGATGGATACAAATGAGACTGTTTGATTCGGGCACCAAGATATATAAAATATAATGTTTGTTTATTTTGCAACATTAATAAATCATATTAAGCACTCTAGTTGGCTCCGATGGAAGCAGGCAGAGGGTCTTAATGTGGAAGGAAACTGGAGAAACAAGAAGAAAACCCACGTGGTTGAGCAGTAGACCCAATCCTTATGTTGTCAGATCGGGGAGTCGACCCTCGGCCATCTCTGAGAGCACTGTCAACTGTGCCAACCAACCAACGTAATTTCTAGATTTACGTAATCCTGTTCAAATCAAGTCTCAATAACTTGCCAATGTGATGTTTAATGACTATATATAGTTGAATTTTACATAATTATGTCTTGTTCATGGAAAATTTGCAACTGTACCTGTAGTGAAATGCTGTCAGCGAATCCCTCAACGAACTCATTGAGGGCCTCTGACCTCATTGCCATAATATTTACGACAAATTTCGCTACACTTCCCACAGCTTTGTCTGCAACTTTGGCCATCCTGGAAAATAATAAAAATAATATTTTGTAAATTAAACAGTACATTAAAAGTAAACCATGTAAACTCAGTACGTCTATGTATTCTGATTACAGTCAAACTTTGATGTTTAAAACTTTACGGGACCATCGGGAAAAATTTGAAACTCCGGGATTTCGACTCAGCAATGTTGATCATTAAACATCATTTAAATTCTGTACATATTAAGTCTGAACGTGACAAAACACAGGCTAAAAGATTTAATGTTAAATCTATAAATAATTGGACTTACAGTAATAAGAATAGCATGTTTATTTATACAATATGTACCAATAAGTAAAATTTGTACATACCATTTCTTTGACATAGGCCTATGTTTACATTTCAATGTTCTCATTAAGGTTAACTGTTTTCAATTAGATGTATTAGTTGTAGTTTTCAATGTTTTCATAATGAAGGGACCTTAATTTTACTTTAAAACAGTGACAAATTTGACTCATAGAAGTTTGATTAATGAATAGAATATTAGTAGTGTTACCGGTATATACAAAATAAGTCTGGACTTTGTCGTAAGTTTGATATTTTTATATAAATTCTACAATAAGCCCAGGGGTGCAATACAAAACCTCTTGACTCGAAACATAAAGGTGGACTATAGTACATTTAAATAGCATTTGTTGGCATTTTTACTGAACATCAATGGATATGGGTGGGCTTATTACCAGGTGTGGGCTTATTACCAGGTATGGGCTTATTCCCAGGCATGGGCTTATTACCAGGCATTGGCTTATTACCAGGCATGGGCTTATGACCAGGAATGGGCTTATTACCAGGAATGGGCTTACTACCAGGCATGGGCTTATTACCAGGAATGGGCTCATTACCAGGCATGGGCATATTACCAGGCATGGGCTTATTACCAGGTATGTGCTTATTACCAGGCATGGGCTTATTACCAGGCATGGGCTTATTCCCAGGCATGGGGTTATTACCAGGCATGGGCTTATTACCAGGTATGGGCTTATTACCAGGCATGGGCTTATTATCAGGCATGGGCTTATTATCAGGTATGAGCTTATTACCAGGTATGGGCTTATTACCAGGTATGGGCTTATTATCAGGTATGGGCTTATTACCAGGCATACTTATAATTATGTATTATGGATTGCAGATTATACATTTATACAATATATAACCTTAATTTTTTTATTAAAATCATGGGATTTCTATGTCTTGTATCATCTGCAAAGACAATTATTTACGAAACCTTTGATTTTGTCATGACATATTTTAAGGGTAAAGTTATAATATATAAATATATACAGTAGATTTCTCTTAATATCACTTCCCATTTGCCAGAGAAAAACATGATATTAACAGAAACATGACATAAACAGAATACATATTTCCTGACAATTTTATATATAAAACAGAACCCTAGAATTTCAAAGAGGCCCCTCCAGAAAATTTATCCTAACATGTACATTTAAAGTTGAACTTAACAAAAGTTCAACGGGGCATAAAAGATTCCTGACTGACTATATGTTTGTATTTTGATTTAGAATTTGATTTCAGAGTTTTCAAAGTCTATTTAACCCTTTCACCCCTAGGTAACTTTAGTAGACTCTACCATACGTTTTTCTCGATGAGTTCATTGTGGTCCACAGTGGTGAAAGGGTTATGCTAACTGCTACACTGCTGAAGGAGGTATTTTCTACAGCAACCATAACCTTTCCTGATTGTAATCTATTTGGAGGTGTTAATTTCATGCAGCAGTCAGACATGAAATCTACAACTCTGAGAAATATCAAAGGATATGAGACAGAGAGGTCTATAGTGGATAGCTAAAGGTATAATTTCAGAGAATCCCATGTGTAGTAGGACAAGGAACAGTGATGAAGATAGTGCCGTCGCTGGGTCTCGAACTAGAGACCCTTGGCTCTCCAGCCGATAATCTACAGTTGAGCTTAAGGTAAATTCCCTACAGCTGACAGTAGTAAGGCAACCTAATCGATGCACATCTTTTACACTATTCCCCCCCCCCTTTTTTTAAACACCAACCAAGGTTCTTTTGACTCCCCGCCAAGGGCTCTCCTACCTTGAACAGGGAGGATCAACGGCACCAGATTGTAGTAGGACGAGGAATAGTGATAAATTAAAGATAGGGCAGTCGCTGGGGCTCGAACCCGTGACCCTTGGCTCTCCAGCCTGATGCTCTACTGCTGAGCTAAAGGCAAATTCCCTACAGCTGACACTTGTTAGGCAACCTAATCAATGCACAACTTTTACACATGCATAATACCAGGATTTTAAGTAAATTTGATTGTTAAAAGATTAACTGTACAACTAAACTAATCTATCCTATAGTTGTACAGTTGATAAAAAACATGCACAAATGTGCGATATGGAAAAATCAATTGATCGATGTTAAAAATCAAAAATATCTGGAAGGTTCAAGTGAAATAAGGTACATCGTATATATTATGTATAACCATGTAAATATTGCAACATACAATTTATTTAAATCAGGAAAGATTTACGCTTAAATACAAAATTGTATTTATTCACAGGCCAATCCTTAATATATATCAACCACGATACCTATTATACAACTGTGCAATAGCTATCCTACAGTTGTGTGAACACTACTATCGCACAGGCTTCCAACGTGCGCACCCTGTACATTGTTCAACTTTGTGGGATCCAACAACTGTACAATTTTTATTTCCAAACATACGTGAGTTGATCCAGAAGAGTTCTGATGCAATCTCCGTAAGACTTCATCAATTGTCTGTCATTCTCATTCCCATCGGTCGGAAAGTCCACTTTGCTGATAATTTCAATCATTTCTGATGCTTCTTGGTAATTTTTCTGGAAAATATATAATGAGTGAAACATGTTGCATATTAATCTTGCAATAAGCCCAGAGAATCCTGGAAGAATATCTGTATTCATTTCTTCATGCCCAGCAATTTCAAGACTAGAGATCTAAACTATATATAATGGCCAGGTTACAACCCTTTTTTGGCCACGCCCCACTAGGGGGCAGTCTCTCTATTTGTAAAATTTTGAATCCCTACCAATCTGAGAATGCTTTCAACTAAATATGGCTATAAATATCCATCTCATAGTTAAAGAGAATCTGCTTAAAACAATATGGTTAAATTCTCCTCAACCGTTCAGAAGAAGTTGTTGATGGACATATATAGGGTAGTGTATAAGTTCACCTTGGTCATTTGAACCACTACATGGTTAGAAAGATAAAAATGACCTCATTAAAATTTCAGATGTTCATAACAGAAAATTCCTAATCAAAAGTTTGATTCTTACAGCAAAAAAATTAAATCGTAACCAAAATGCCTGATTCTTTAAATATAAATCTACATGTCTTACCTTCCATGTCCAGATTCTCTTGAATTTTCCTTCCTCCAAGATTTTAACTGCAATCTGTGCACTATCCTTCTGCCCACATCTGAGGAAACCCTTCACGATCGGGAACCACACGACAGCAGATTCTTTCCTGGAAAATGGAAATCCAACCATGTTGATTTTCTGCTACAAGTTGTTTATAATTTGGCCTAATGACCAATACTTCTTAACTCATTCACCCCTGACATTTCATAATGAACTATTACAATCTTTGAATTGAAGGTGTTCAAATGTGTCGTCAGGGGTGAATGAGTTAAAAGAAGTCTGCTGACTGATTTTCATTATTTTTTAAGTTTTGTTATTATATGTTTTTGCTATTGTGATTTAAACAAGAGGTCCAGGGGCCTTAATAGCTCACCTGGTATTTTATTTTTCAATTTTAAACCTGCTGAGTACCATTCAGGTTTATCAAAGGAGTACAAGTAACAAAGTTGCATCTTCCATTTATAAATATTCAATTCCCTTTGCCCAAAGATTCTCTAAAACAAGTTTGGTTAGGTTAAAATCCCTTCAACGGTACAGAAGGAGAAGGATCTTTAATGTTTTCCTCTATTTCCCCTAATGGGCCCCACTAATCTGCCCCAAAGAAGGGGAATCCACACACCTCAGTTTAAACAAAATTGATTCTTTTCTCCCTAAGCATGCTTCAGACTGCATTTGGTTTAAATCCCTTCACTTGTATAGTAGGAGAAAAAAAATCCTCTATTTCCCCTATTGGGCCCCGCTCCTATGCCGCCAGAAGGCCCACACCCTCCGTTTATACAAACTTGAGTCTCCTTTGTCCAAAGATGCTCTAGGACAAATTTGGTCAAAATCCTTCAATTGGTTGAGGAGAAGATTTTTAAAAATTTACCTATTTTCCCCTATTTGACCCCGTCCCTCTGCCCCCAGGGGGACCATACCCTCCGTTCATACAAAACTGAGAACCCTTTGGCCAATGATGCTCCAGACCAAATTTGGTCAAATCCCTTCATCGGTACAAAAGGAGAAGGATATTTGATGTTTTCCTCTATTTCCCCTAATGGGCCCCACCCATCTGCCCTTAGAAGGAGGCCAGGTGAGCTAAAAATTACTGAATACATTTCAAACAGTACAATAAATGAAAGAGGTATAATTTCAATGGGTTACTGAGTGTATGATATATATGTATGTCCATAAATTCCACCCCAATGGGTTATAAACTAAATAAGGGCTATGCAATTTTTTTGTGTGCATGGATAAGGGTTTTCTTTCAACAAAGGAATCCCAAACTTTATCTTATCCATTTTGCAAATTTTAGTTAAAAATTAAAATATACATATTCAACTACCGCATTTATCCTACAAAAATCAGCCCTGATTTAATCAAACAGATTAATTCTGACTGAAAGTAATTAAGGAGGTGTGGCTTATTACAGGACAATGGAAATTCTTCGTTGTCATTTCTTTGTAACTGTAATATATATTGGTGGGTTTATCACCAAGCGTGGGCTTATTGACGGATAAATATGGTAAATGTCAGTTTTGTGATAGGTACAATGCTTTCTCAAATTTATAATAATGCTGGAGTATAAGACTCTCTCATGTCCAGGGGTGTAAGATAGGGAAATTCCACCCTTGGGGTTTCCAAATCTGGTAAAACCTGAGGCTTTGCCAAGAATTTTTCCAAATTTGAAAATCCTGAGGGTGTAATTTCCCAATCCTACACCATTGGGCATGAAAGAGTATTTTTCTCATTACAACTACCAGAATAAGTTCAGTCATCATGAATGCGTTTGGAGTAGCTACCATTTTGAAAATATCAAATTTTTCCCTGAGCTTTTTGACAAAAACAAAATTAATCTGTCAGCGTGATTTAGCATACCCAATATTTGCAAGCATAGTTTGCACAGAAAAAACAATCTCCTCTTTCTAAATTATACGGTTAACATATCGTAAAGGTTTTAATTTCATCACATCGCCTTTTCCGCATTGCGACATCGGAGTTTTCCAAACTCGTGACGTCATGTCATTGTCGAGCCATTGTGACGTCAAGTCACGTGAAATGGGGGGTAAGATAGAAATTTCTTACACCCCTTTCTTACCCTGGACAGCTCTATCTTACACACACGGAAATGAGAGAAGAAAGTTTCCAATGCATTATAAAAGTACACATTTTGGCAGTGGTACGGGTATCCTTAACTGCGACTGACCCATTATAAGTGCAGAGCTGGGTTTTTTCCATTCAAGCATTTATCTTTTGAATCTGATTTCACTTGTGTATTTATGAAAGGTTCAGAACTTCTTTGCGACTAGAAAAGTGATAAGTTTGCATAAATTATGATATTAATAAAAAAAACAACGAAGCAAAATAAGTTAATATTGTGTAGCACATTTTAAAGGTTTACGTTTTAAATAAAAATAAAAAAAATCAGCAATGCCGTTGTCTCAAAGTCGATTTTATTTGGAGGGGAGATGGGTCGACTGAAGAACTAAAGCGACTTACTTCAATACAGCCCTTTCCTGTACAGTGTCTGCCATCCTGTAGGCCCAACTTTCTAGGGATTTCGCTGACGGACCCTTTAGAAGTATCTCACTAAACACAGTTGCCCATTTGTCGACAACCTGAGGATGTTCCTAGGAATTTTTATGAAAAACTTTCATTTGAAAAATTTGTTCAATACACATGTCAAATATATATATATTATTGACTTCTATCAGATTTCTGCCTTCAGTCACTGCAAAGCTAAGTATTTATGTATACCGGTATTAATTTTTCTTCCTTTCTGCAAACATTTTATTTTTAAACTGATAAAGAGAATGAAATGATTTCTTTAACGATTCAGACACAGCAGATTAAATGTTGTTAGTTTTTTTTTTCCAAAATGATCAACTTGATTTACCAGTTGTCTCCTTTTAAAATAAACAACCAAAATGATCCAGAATAGAAGGTGGTCGTAACAAGAGGCCCAGAGGGCCTTTATCGCTCACCTGTTTCTTTTGTTACATGAAACTGACATATAGGTAACTTCAGACCAAATTTGGTAACTAGAACACAGGGCATTTTAGTATCTCTTAAACACTTCTTAAGATATTGTTGTTTGAAATTTTTAAATTTACGTTAACCTTTGACTCTGGCTAGCACTTAAAAGTAGACCTTTGACCTCATTACAGTAATAAAGAAAGCGATTCACACAGCTGGTCTACATAACATATCTAAGTATATCATGACTCTAGTCCAAATGGTTCTTAGGATATTGTTGTTTGAATTTTTTAACATATTTGACCCCTGTGACCTTGAAAGTAGGTCAAGGTCATTTTAATGAAGAAACTTTATAGCACTCCATCCCATGTACCTACTGGCCAAATATTATGACCCTAGGTCCTCCAGTTCTTCAGGAGAAGTTGTTCAAAAGAAAAAGTTTACAGACAGGCGACAGACGACAGCCCTTTCGGCCAGGTGAGCTAAAAATCAGAAACTGTGACTTTGACTGTTTATTCTGGTTTGCAAACATTTTGCGCTAGATGTCAGCAGAGACACTTGACATGTTTTTGCATCGCCTTATAATCGTAATACAAACCTTAAAGTAATTTTCTGGCATCTCGTCAAGGAAATACCAACCAAATGGCTCCATTATCTTAGGAAACTCAGCAGATTTCTTTGAAAGGGTCAAATTTTTCATAAAATCTAGTACAGCATCCCAAATATCTATAAATTCTTTTACATTATCCCTGCAAAATAAATAAATAGATTGATGAACATGTGTCATTAAAAAGAAATATTTAAATAATTATAATAAACAATAAATGATTACCAAAGGGAAAAAAGATGAAAAATATATAGAACAAATGTCACCCTAATTCCCAATATTTGGGCCTCTTGGCTTTCTTCAAGGGCGAAAATCAACGATTGTTTCAAGTATCGTCCATCTTGCTTCTTCGCCATAAATTAATTATGTTTTATTTAAGCAATTCTTTTTTTTGTTAAATTGGCTGGATCATGGTTAGTTCCTGTTTTACGTCCTAAGAACAGCGGTGGTCATTTAAAGACGTGCCAGGTTTTGATGGTGGAGGAAAGCTGAAGTTCCCGGTGTCATATAAAATTTTCATCCCCCATAAAATACTCATCCGGATGAGTATTTAATGCATTAAATACTCATCCCCCCCATAAAATATTCATCCCCCCTAAAATTTATCAAAACTTTTTACATATATACAAAATGTATAGCATTATTACATCATGTTACCTGTAATACATGGTTCCTATATGTCTATCCAGGTAATTATAATACACAGGGTGTCACCTGTGGGAGCTTGGGCCCTAGGGGCTACTGTTGCCTGGTGACAACATACAGGTGTGGTCAAGATCAGCTGTGAATAAGTGGTATACTGACAAATCATTGAAACAGGGATATATTTTTGTAATTTTAGTGTCCATCAGGTTTAAAAAATAAAGAAAACTGCCATTTACATATCATAAAACTAATTTCTTTAACTATTATTTCATTTTTTATGAATTATTTTTTCCACAGCAATCCAAGCATATAATGAAAAGCAGTATATTAATTGTTATGTTTATAGATATAAAAATTGAAATTTTCAATTAATAATAATATCCATGAATGTATGGCAGAAAAACTGCTTTGACATTTTAGGAATAATTTCTTTCTTAAGTCAGCTTAGGTGGTGCATGGAATCTCAAGTAATTAAAGTGGTGCGAATGTTTATTAAATCAAGCAATATTGGTAAACAGTTGTTTTATTAGATGAAATCATATTTTATGACTACAGTAGAGGGTAGATAG